TGACTGAGGATCAGGAGTTCAACTGGTTAACTGTTACTAGAACTTATACATACTAGGTTAGGTTAGGTTAGGTTAGACTGGTAAGCTAAGCCACTGTAACTAACAGTGGTTTGAGAGCATATACTGGTTGAAGCAAAGCTTCAGACTGAGACTTGAATAGACAACTGAGTCTATTACTAGAGATGTCCCTATAAAGTGTACATAGAAAACAAGTGGACAAAACTAAAGTACAGTAGTGCAATCGGTGCTACTTAAATAGTGCAAAGTAAATAGAGTTCAATAAGTATGAAACACTGAGTTGCATCAGTAATGTATATAAAACAGGTTTTACTGGGTTGATCAGTGATGAAGAAGAAGTGTGATAGAGATGAAACATGATATAGGTGAAACACAATAGATATGAAACATTGATGTAGGTGAAACACATCAAGTGATGGGATTAGTCATACAGTTACAGGGTTACCAACAAATAGTTAGGAAAAGAAAAAGAAACCCCCCAAAGCTGTAACAATATTAGCAGTAAACAAATTTAGACTAGGACTTTACTAGAAGTAGATATTAATCTAAATCCTGGAAATAAAATATATATAATCTAAGCTAAAGATTTTAGTCAGAGTATATAATTTATATATATAGTATAGACTACTTTAAAATGTAAAAATAAGTAATATATCTCAGCCAGAATACGAAAAATATGAGTAAAGTAAAGAGCATGAATAAATGAATAAAACCAGTTTGCAGACCTAAAAATAAGCTAATATGGTTCATTAAATTAGCAGAGCTTTAAAGTTCTCTAAAAATAACAAGGAATTCTGCTGTTTGAAGATCACTTAATAGCTCTAGCCAAAGCTGGAGAGATGGAAGTTGAAATCTGACAATATCTTTGTAAGATTTGTACTGGTAGAGATAATAGGTGTGGATTATTTGCCAATCGTCAAATCTGTTGCAGTTAATTACTCAAAGACCTGCTGTGATTGCACTAACAATAGAGGCCTCTTATAGTATGGCAACCATATCCTCAGGGGGGGCTTTGTGGTTTGTATGTGCTTTGGCACATGTACTGTCATAATATTTTTCTGTTATGCTTTGGCTCTCAGGCTGGGTGGGCCTTTTTTTGTTGTTGCTGTCTTTTCTGAAAATGTCTCTTTGTTCATTGCCATATTACAATTACGTAGTACATTATCCATCTATAAAAAGCCTTTTATTATCTTTCTCTGCAATTTGAGAACTTGCTGTCTATAAGTCAGTATATATATGTCACTCTGCTAGCAGTGATAGAGGCCTTGGTAAATTTGACTGACTATTAAGGCCAGGCTAAATTCAAACTCCTCTAAACTGAGGTAAGTAGTTATGTAATCTGCAAATAGTACTGATATAAGCTGTGCAATTGACATAATAATAATCTTCATACTCAAGCTACCTATCAATTACCATTTCTCAAAGATATGTAGTAGATGTGGCAATATACATCTTCTGCTCAATCTCCCTAGGATGAGAAATGTTAACATTATCTGTGTAGAAGAAATGATGCTGAAAGCATAAGACTAAGTATAAAGAATACAGCAACAAATATTAAGTGTGCACATACACTGTCTGGAGAGATAGACCCAACATTATGGCTATCTTGATCATTCTGATAGACAATGGCAGTGTAATATCTATATTACTGAACTTCAACTGCAAAAACTTGACCATTCCTATCAAACTTCAGCTCTATAACTTGTCTGATATGACTGAGAAACTGACAGTCACCTACAAGCTTTCACTACATAATCACAACTAAGACTAGTGACAAGAAAATAAGAAGTTTAGGCTACAGTGACTAACTTGGCATCTTTGTTTGAAGCTGGCAATAAACCAGTAGCTTGTGCAACACTGAACCAACTTAACCCAACTCACAGCAACACTGAACACACCAGAAACATGGAATCAGAGTGGAGTTGGTTAGTACTGCATGGTGAATAGTGGCACTTGGCGACCGTCCCGGATGGCCGTTATTATCAGCAGACAAATTGTATTCATTGACTGAGTGCGATGGTCCAAAGTCGCGTGCTACGACAACGGCCGTCCTAGACGGCCGGGATTATAGACGGACAAAACCGCACCGACTGTTACAATATCTCATTCCCCTCACTTACTCCTGTCTTCTTCCTTGCCTTCTCCGCATTGCGACGCGGTCCGTCCAGGACGGCCGGTACGCTATCATGCGCAAACGGTAGGTGAATGCGGAAATATCTTGAAATACAAATTCGGTCCAAGGCATTCCGATCAGGTAACGCTCAGTCTAACCCAATACGATCAATTAATTATATCAGCTGATACGAATTTGCACGGAATGTAACTATATCAGGATTGGGTCAGGGTCAGTTTGACATCATGGGTCACTAGTTGATATAGTGTCTGCAGCACGTTTCAAATTCTGATGATGCTCCAGAGGCTGGATATATAAACCCCAAATTTTCAGTCATCCTCCCAGCTTCCCACCACCATGGCACCTCATCCCGACGAAGCGCTCCCCGCTATTCAACTCTCGCTCGCAGACTTCAATGAGTACGGACAACGCGTTCTTACCAATCCCAACGATGAGGACCGCATTTACAGCTTTGTACGATATATGTTAGGAGGGAGATACGACGATGACGACGAGCTGAAGCGTATCTATGTGAATGCACGCCAAGGGCTCCGCGCACCAATCCCGGTCACCCCGGACAATCCGAACGGTTATATCGTGCGGCGCGATTACGACTCTGTTATCGGAGTCACTCGTACTTTGCCGTTTAAACACGGCATCGCAGTGTATCCTTTACCGCCATTCAAAGAAGCTATGACAAGTGATATGCATCTCTCCCATGAGGTCAGGCTGCGAAATGTAAGTACTACCATATGCATACATTCCCTGCTCATAAACAGTGTGCAGGAGTCTGTCATAAAAGTGCCCTTACATAAAATTCCCAATATTGCTTTTGGAAAGTTGGATGTCCGTGGGCAGACCAATCTTTTCTTTCCAGCACTCTATCGCCAAGGGCAGCGCACCACAGTGGATAAAGAGATCATAGCCAAGTTCTACAACAAAGTATTGCGTCCTGCACTGGCAATGGAAGCTGATGAACAGATGATTCGGTGGCCAGCTACCTATGACCTTGCTATGAAGCAGGCTAAGGACACCAGAGGAGAGTTCCACTTTGGTACTGTTGACGTTGGCGCTTTCTTGCTAGAAGATTTGGAGATCAGGCTTATAGAAGAGATGGACAAGCACCGTGAATTCTGTGGTGCATTCTGGGTCCATACGATACGAGGCATCAAGGGTCGTACAGCTCACAACATAGACCATGTTTTTGACCGTGGTTATCAACTGAAACAAGCACTTTCTTTCCTGGATATGGAAACCTCTAATATCAACTACAAGGAGTGGTATATTGACATTGGAATAGAGGTGTTCTATCCCCAGCATGTCTTGCAATGGCTTAGGAATGGACATACCAAGATCCTACAGCATGTCTTACCTAGCGCATCAAGGCAGCAAGTGCATGCTCTTTACAAAAGCCAGGACCTCTTCAAAGTTGACTATGAAGCTCAACTAACAGACTTTGCTGGATTTCGAGCAACTCCTAATTCCCGTGGTGTTCGGGATGGCATAGTGTATATTCAAGCATACAGCCCAGCTAAGCATGGTCATTATCAGATGCACTCAGGCATATATCGCCGTCGGAACGCAACGGACACCCTCCCTAGCAATATCAAGGCTCTTAGAGCAGATTGCGGGTCTATCTATCAACTCTTCGCAACATGCCGTGGCAATGCAGATCCCGACGAAGAACAAGATGCCTCTGCACGTTTAGAAGCCCGTGTTCGCCTGGATTGCGCTGAAAACACGCTCACAACATTTGCTGAAGACTTGGTCAATGATACAATGATAGCAGTACCCATTGACATCTGGTGGTATGAATTCAATGCTTTCAATACTGTCTGTTCTGACTTGAACTCATTTGCAGGCATTTCAAGATGGAGAGAGTTGCTGCGCTCAGTTATGTTTTTGAGTCCCTTCAAAGTCAACCATCCACAGTCCGTATCCATGAGTGTAGCCTTGCACTTGGAGCAATGTCTGTCTACATACTCAATGCGCTCCTGTATCGCCCTGGAGAGCAAGAGGGCGACCGCGAGCTGGCTGAAGCATGCGCCATGTTTATGGAAGAAGTGAATCTGGACAATGTGGAGTATTCTGACTCGGATGATGCCGAGGAATATGAACTGGTGCCTGTCGGACGCAAACAAGGCTTATATTTTTTTGCCGATATTGTGGACAATGATCGTTTCATGGAAGAAAACCATTTCCGTCTGGCCATCACACATTTCAAAAACAAGAGCCTCTCGCAAATCATCGCATTCAAATACGGCGTCGATCTAGTCACGGATTTAGAGCCCAGATTCGGGCTGATCAACTTGGTTGCACCAATGCGCAGAGCCCACCCAACTCGCCTCAATAATCGCGCTCCCATTACGGCGTCCATCACTGACTTCGAAGACGCTCCGCCCAAGATCAATTTTGGCTTTGAAGAAAGAGGAATAGCATTAACCTCGAATCTTGGACTCCATGGCAATGACGTCGATATTGCCGAGGAAGAGGAAGAGGAAGATGAAAACGAAGACGAACTTACGCGGAAACTTACCAACCTGTGGTACCAGATGTTCGTGGACCTCATGTGCCTGGCCCCCAATCGCAAAAATAGCGTCAATCCATCTTATTGCAGCATGCCCAAATATTTACGCATGACGGCTAAGCCTGATCTATTCCAACAATATGAGCTCCCGTTCTATGAAGTCAATTACAAAGTGGCAACAGGAGCAGAATGGTCCTCTCTATTCGACTGTTTATTTCCTAAGAAGACCGCCGCACCTCGTACTCGCAAACTACAAAACTATCCCCTCGCTAAATACTGGAACACGTATATTATCGTACTCAACAGAATGACCTCGCCCAACGATATTGCTTTCATGCGGAAAAGACTGCGTGAGCTATTCAATAGCTTAGCTTGGATTCCAGCAGCCAACAGCGAGCGCATCTGGGATTCAAAAAGTAATCCACCTGGCTATA